CATCAGCATCAGCATCATCATCATCTAAGGCTCATTCAGGACCTGCGCAGGCCGAAACCATTGGAGCCGAGATGCCGAGAACTGCGCGTTTAGCACGGACCGGCTTCCTTCCAGCTCATCGCGGAAGCGGCGTAGCTCCTCCTTGGATGTCAAGCAGCAGAAGGGTGGGCAAAACACACATACTGCATACACCAGAACCCTGAAATTCTTAGAACAGGGGTTTAGGTTGGGGGGCATGCAAATCCTGCTGCTCGGCAAAACCGTCGCTTCAGATGGTGACGCCTCCGGGACTATGTTTAGCTACATCCGGTTTGAGGGCAAGCTTCACTTGGTGTAGGGTTTTTTGCGTGCTTTCGGCAGGCAGAAACAGTGTGCCATACAGCTTTTCCAGCTGGCCGGATAATGGTTGCGTGCCTTCCCTGCCGGCTCCAGGTTGCTCGGATTTCTGCGACACAGCTGTCAAACATGCTGCGAGTGCATACTGGCCCCTAGCAAAGCCGAGAAGTTAATGCATGATTTTCGTTACGCGCCTAACTCGTTGCCTCGACTGCGTGCGCCAGAGCCAGAGCCAGAACAGGGGTTTGAGGTCCAGCATACAAAAGTACTGTGATGATGTACGAACTGTGAGGGATTCCTACTGGTAACTGTTGAAGTCTCCACGTTATTTCGTTTTCTTTCCAACAGGAGTTCCTATGAACTGCGGCGTCGACTCAACTCATAGCAGCAACGCTCATGGTCGTGGTGCTACAACAGTTTAGGGCTTTTTAGGGCTTATAATGGGGTTTACGCTTGGTTTATGCTCTCAAAGCTCGGACTTGTTACTAGTAGGCGAGGTCCGGGTTTAGGGTGTCGGAGTTCAGGCTTCAAGGTTAGGGGTCCAGGGCTTAGGAGTTTAGGCTTCAGGAAACCCACGTCTTGAAAAGAAGAAGCACCAAGACAGTGAGGCCAAGTGTCTTCAAGGACCTGCGCCTCGCGATGGCAATCAGCAACTACATCTGCACTTATGTTGGATAATTTTCGGGATATGAGCCCCCCCCCCAAAGAGCCTAAGAGACATCGAACTCCCATCTGTCCGGATCTCTCCCCCACCACCAACCATGATAGGCTGCATGCGCTTGCCCGCACCATCGGGAGTACGCGCTTTTGGACCGTGCACAACACTGTCGATCCTCTGCGCAGCATCTGTTCTACGATGCGTGTGACGGCATAAGCAAGTGGTACGTCATGCTATGCTACTCGAGTTGCGAGAGAAGGCATCACATCCTGTGTGCCCTCGAATGGCAGTCCCTTTTGCCTTCGTCTCCGCATCTTGCCGGGACTCGACCTCACAGCGCACCTGGGAAGGAAAAGCCCGACTTCGAACTTCTGTTTCGAAATTTTCCAGGGCTAAGGGGCTTTAATGTTCGAAGGCTACTTAAGATTTTAGGCTCATCTTAAGGTTTGTGAAGGACTCCCTTAGGATGTAGGCTTCAGGGTCTCAAGGATTGGACTTTATTCCTACCGCCTAGCTTGGGCCTAGCTGAACGAGGCCGGACGGGTTTAGGGCTTCGGCTCGGGCGTTTAATTATGGATTAAGGTTTTTGGTCTATGTTTGGGTTAGACTTCGAAGCTGCGGCTCACAGGATTTGGGGTGCCAGGTTGTATGCTTGTTGTTGCTTCCACCCGAAGGGCTGAGTTGCTGCTGACCCACTGAGACATGACAGGTTGCCGCGGCACGCTGCTAGAAGCGAGTGAAAGCAAACTACTCACTCGCAACCGGGTTTCGGGCCCAAAAACTATACCATATCAAAAACAACAAACTGTAATATACTTGTGACATCCTATAACGCACGAAGGTATTACTATGATAGACTATAATATACTTGTATAATATCCTAATGTATCGAAATATATCAAACTGCAGATGGAACCGAGCGCCTCTGATCGCAGGCTTTTCAGCTTGTCAAGGTAGCTGGAGCCACAGCTTTCCAGCTCCTGAAAATGCCTGGCGCAGTATAAAAACGGGCAAGGCCCGGAAAGCAAGATATTCTTATATATACATATATAGATCAGCACCCCAAGCTCGAGCTCTTAGAGCGAGTTGCCACATCGGCCCACACCTCTCTCAACAGCCTCTAGCTGTCTGATGCTGTTTCCCTCGGATGTGCCTCGGCCGAAGCGTTTTTTCTCGAAACCAATGCACTAGGCTCGCACTAGCACGTGGTGCTTTCCCCTTGCTTCAAGCGAAAACACAGCGCAATCCCCATCCCAAGGATGCCTCTCCAACATCTTGTTCTTGACCTCCTGCCTTTCGTGACCGCTGCGGATCAACTCCTGCACCCGACCTTTCAAGCGACCGATCACGCATCTTCGGGCTTCGCCTTCAGATTGGCTTGATTCCTTGTCACTGTTGCTCGCTATGTACTTGCAATATGCATTTCTTCTCAATCTCCGGAACCTTAACCTGCGCCGAATCGGGCTGGCCAACTCAAGGCAACTGCTCGACTACTCTACATGCTCAGCGTATGTCCTCATTATCACAGACACCCAACCCAGACCTGCAAGCGTGCAAAATGGTCCAAGAGAAAAATAGGCCAATCCATGCGCAAGCCCCCAAAACCCCGAACCCCTATAAACTTCACATCCTAAAATCTAAATCCAAACTTCAAAAGATCGCCAAACCCCCAAAACCTTGCATCCTAAACCCTATAACCATCCTAAACTGAATCCCCCACATCTTCGCCCTTAGTGAATTCCCCGTTGCATGCCGGGCGTCTCATGAGCTCTCGATGAGCCTGGCGACGGGTAGCTGGGGCCTCGCAGCTGGTCAAATGTCGGGGCCGAAATACTTCGTTGAAGGTCTCTACTAGGGGCGTAATTAATCATGCCATATGATCTAATACAGCGACTGTAGTAATTGGAATTGGACTTTGTTTTTCCGATTAATAAAGAACCCCTCTATAGTATCTAAACCTCTCTCTCTCCCTTTCCCTCTCGCAGAGCTTATGTTTTGCGATCAGTTCATCATTCGAAACATTAGGATTGCAAGAGTCTGCGTGCTGTAGAACGTGTGGCTTGAGTCCCCGTCACCCGCAAAGTCTGGGTTTGAGAATTAAACCCCTAAACCTTACGATTGCAAGGGCGAGTGTGCTCGGCATTAGAACGCATGAGATTGCAACAACCGCAGGGTGTGGGGCTTAAAAATATTCCCAGGAGCAAGTGAAGATGCTAGAACAAGCCTCCAAATACAGACCTAGTTTGGGGCAAATCACGTTTTAAGTTTTGCCGGGGCGGGGGCGGGATTTTGACCCAATCGGGGTAAGGCAACAATGTTCAGTCGCAATTACAATCTGAGCGTATACACATACACCCCTACACAGCAGCTGGCTTCACAAGACCGATCGTCTGGTTAAGTGAACTTAGCCGCTACAGATCTTCAACTTGTCATTGCTACCGTCGATGAACACAGTTCTTCGAAATCAATCACCCCAAGCCAGAGCCAAACCACAAGGGGCCCGGAAAAAAGGAGCCCTCGAGCCTGAACACAAACCAACCGAAACATCCCGAAACCCCTGAAGGTAGACCATTGCACACAAGGCCCTGGACACCATGCCTCAAGCCCTAAGGACACCAACTGAAGCATGTAGTGAATCGATGATGCCTCCGGCTTCTGAGCACCTGGGCCGAGGCTGTCAAAGTTCTCCAACAAATTGAAACAAATTGGGTACGGCGTATTGTTTTGGAAGCTTTAGCGATGTCGGTTTTAGGGCCTCAGGTTCTCATTATTGAGAGCTTTTGGGTGAAATCCTCAGACATCCATTCCCAGCAGGACGGACTGTCGATCATAGTCGATCGACAGTGGAAGTCACGGCCGATGCTACACTCGCAGCCAGCGTGCGTGAGTGAGTATGTCTGTGTGTGTGTGCATGTTCTGAAATCAAAACACATCAGAATTCCCGAGGTCAGTTCACCCCTTGAAAGCCCATTTGTTGAACATGGCGATATTACCAAAGCGATAGACAGCCGTTTCGGGAACGCAGGCTCGCTTACAAGCCCAGGAAACACTGTCTGGTTCTTAGTAGGGAATGGGGGAATGGATCCCTATGATAGTCCCTTAAGGTCCCTTATAGTAGTCCCTATAATCCATTCCCCCATTCCCTACTAAGCACCAGACAGAAGAGCTTCTCAGTGGCTCCGAGAAAGACTAAACCCGGCAACTGCAACGGTATCATCGCGATGCAGCCCTATACCCCAACCCCCATTCCCCAATCCCTGTTTCAATAAACCCCAATGGCCGCACACTCCCAAACCCTAAAAATCCGAAACTCCTGATACCAGAATAGGAGCCCAGTGATGGCGTGGAGTGCCGACGTTCGTTGCCAAGCCTTGGCGACTTGCCGTAGGAGGATCCGACCTGGCAGGATCGAGGATGTTCCGGTGATAGCACGCAGTACCAAAAAAGAGCATCAAAAGCAGAATGATGAGCGACAGCATGCAGATACCGATGCAAATCATAACCAAAACTCCGCAATGTAGGCAGGTGAGGCAAGGAGACTGGCACAGGGCTTCAGGACGCTGTTTGGAAGACATGCCCAAGAACAGAAAGGATCAACCGAAGCCACTGGCGCTTTCTGCTCAAACTAAATTCGTTGAATATGGAATCCTGAATCTCAACTAAACGCGGGTGTTAGGGCAGGGTATTTTGTTGCTTATGCAGCTGCTGCTGAGCCGTATGGTAAGGTACCCACAGGAGCTACCTGGATCTGCTGCCAGTCCCCAAAACTCCCGGCTTTGGGAATTTGTGATGCGATACTGAGAAAACAGGAAGGATTGTCAAAAGCTAATATAGGGGTCTAGAAGTCTAGATACTTACCAATACTATTTTGGGGGGTTCCTCATTATATTTGTAATATTATGGGCCCCAAAACCCTATTCTAATTGTTAAGGCCGCTATATTACTTCATCTGCAGCATGCATCGTTGCCTTCGGCCTGCACGGCTTCACTGCACCCCTCGACATGAGACCCTACCTAGCATGATTGATCTCTCCAAGTGGGAGTTTCCGAAAATTAGGGGTACCTTATTTTGGGGTTCTTATAATACGGATCCTACTATTTAGGGTACTATATTAGGGTCTCCTATTTTTTCGGAAACCCCTAGTGGGGTCCTAACATCGCGCAACAAGTAGCACGACATGGGACCCTACAGCAATCAAACCTTTTCGGGTTCTAAGTAATTGTGTTGAGAACCATGTTGCCATTAGGAGCTTGTGGACCTTCTTTCAATTCAAGCAACCTACACCCTTTCCACCTGAACGCGTGTACCCTCAATTCCAGCTTTGACTGTCAATCTTGAAATCTTCAACTTAAGCACTTAATTACACGGGAATCCCTGACACCTCAAAGCCTGAGCCCTTCTCCAAACCTATAGGAGCCAACAAAACAGCTCTACGAAGCAGCCTTCAGCGCCTTTCAGAGCTGTAGTGTCGTTCTCGAAATAAGCTTTAACCCTCTCAAGAGCCGTCTTTGTGTGAACCCTATCCAACATAAAGCCCCGATTAGCATCTTAACATCTTTACAACCTTATAGACCCTGAAATGAGCAAGAAAAGGAAAGGAACAAGGCATGCATTGTCAGCGCCAGCACCTGGGCTTCGGCAGCCAACTCCAGCGACTGGATTCGCCGATCCTGGCAGGCTTTGTAGGTCCTTAGGGTTCGGGTAAATACTAGCATATTCATATTATGGTATGCTGTGGTACTTTGTAATATACTACAGTTGGAATTTGTGCCTCCTACTTAGCAAGGACGAGCCCGCATTGCAGGGTAATGTACTGTCTCTGTCAAGCAGGCCAACCTCATGTCAAGGCGAGCCAATTAGATCGAACTCCCTATTTCGGGTGTTACAAAGGGCCGAAAGCACTGAGCATCTTGCTCACGCTCCCTGCATGGATGGGCTTTTGCTTCTCCCTTCTTCGGGGTTAGGTTTACGGTAAGGGCGTCTTACGGCTCCTGTCGCGGCCTGAACAGGGCAAACTCAAGCCACACATAGGCGAGGGACTCGGTGGATGCCAGCACACATGACGATTCCACGTGTATGAGACGAAAGGGCCACCATAATTACCATCACGCTCTGAACAAAAACTAAAAAGCGGAATCTTGCGCCAAGTGCCATGGCTGAAGCCTCAACACATGGGGTTAGCATAAAAACGATAGATTAAGCAAGCCAGTGCAAACAAATGCCGTTTAAAGTGAAAATGTTCAAGGAGCTTCCCTGCTGCCTTGGCATCCAGCAGCTGCTGCATGCAGGCCAGCTGCTCCTGATAGCGGTTTAGGGCTTAGACGGTTTTTTTTGGCACTCACACTCGGACAAGCCTGGCAATAGACGGTTTAGGGTTAAGGGTTGTTGTGTAGTTTGTGTTTTTAGCTTCGCAGGGGTTTTACGGTTTGGTTGAGCTTATGATCGGAAGCCGAGCGGCTTGCATCATCGTCGGAAATCTCATGTGACTTCGAGAATGCTTTATGTGGTTGAGCTGGGAGCTCCCGTAGTTTCGATCGAGTGTATAGCTCTTAAGGTCCTGAGGGGTCAGGGATCCACATCGACATCGAAACCTGTTGCACTTCGATGAACACCTCATATGCATTTGCTTCCAGCCAGCCCCAAACTAGAACACGTCTTTGTATATCACAATGAGCATAGGCATCCACAAGCTCAACAAATGCTCGAGCAATGACCAGCTCTCATGCAAGAAAAACCTTCTCACTTGTCGGGTATCATGGGGAACTAAAGGTTAACCTTTGGGGTTATATAGGGGTTATATAGGGATTGTACTACCCCAAAAAGGTTAAAGGTTACCTACCCTACTGCTAGGCCTTAAACTTCTAAGGCTCTCTGGAAACGACTTGATGCCAACGCTCCTCCAGCAAGGCTTCGTTCTCGGACTTCTCGTGCCCCTGGGACTGATAGATAGATAGATAGAAGGCTATGCAAAAACATGGCCATTCGTGGCTTCGAGTCAAAAAGTACCGCTAAGCAGTGCCCCGTCCCGCCTTGGAGAGTTGCTTTCGAATGGCAATCTCTTGCTCAAGCTGCACTTCCTGCGCACACGCTTCGCTCGATCAAAAATGCCATACACTCACACTGGCTTCTGGCGTTTCCATCACGCCAAGAGAACCCCAGCTTGCCAAACGCTGGCGACCTCCGGCCCCAAAACGCCCTTTCTGTTTCAGCACGGGCTTTGGGTGCGTGCCGGCAAGCTGAAATCTTAAGGTCTTTGCAAGACAGACGCGAACTTGAAACTGAGCTCCTTGCACAGCAGTTGAAACCCTAAACCCTTTTTCTTGCCTCTGGTAAACCCCAAATAGCCTAACATAGGGGCCTTCATAATTAGAATAGGGTTTGGGGGTATATTCTGCTATAGTTATACTAAGGAACCCCAAAATAGTATAGGTAATTATTAAGATTGCTAGTATATGAAACCCCAAACGCCGGCCTAAACCCGCAAGCCCTGATCTCCTGCTCCAGCTCTTGGTCCAGCTCTGCGGCCATCCAGGGTGGCAGCCGGCCCCAGCACTCTCGCTCCTTAACGACTTCTTATAGTTTTTGTCTAGGATAATAGAGCAGAGCTCCTTAACGCCTGCTTATAGAACCCTAAACCTTAAACCCTAAACCCTAATCCTTAACACCTTCTTATAGTTTTGTCTAGGAGAGTAGAGCAGAGCTCTACTGCACCCTTCTTCGGCCCCATTTCGACTAGTTGTGGGGTTTAGAGATTCTCAGTTTGTGGCTTTGGAGCTATAGAAGGCTTCTGGGGTTATAGGGTTCCAATTGGAGGCTGGTCAATTAGGGGCTTGGGTGCGTAGAGTTCAACGAGGCTTTTACATATCGAAGTCTGTGAATGGGCGAGATGTAACTCTGCCAAGCAAGACACGGCACATCTCCTCCTGCTCAAACCAAGCTTGTGATACTGCCGCGCTCAACTCTATGAGAAAATTTGTTGGCCGAATATCCTAGCATGATCCCTCTTAGAGTCGTTGAGAAGAGAGCGTGCAGAACTCCTTTGCCCAGGTAACTATCCATCTTGATACTACGGTACCATCGTGAGGACACCTGGCAGCCAATTCTAGCAGTTCTCAAATCAATTCAACAACACCACGGTACTTAAGGAACCTCACCCCAAAACCCTGAACCTACCTCGCTTGTGGCTGCCAGGCTGCAGCTAGGGGCAAGTCTTCGAGGCTGTGGTGATCCGTGAAGACGGTCTGCAAGGATTCTTGTGTGAAAAGCGCGCTTTTTTCGAGAGACTCTGTGGTTTGACGATGTTTGACGCCATGGAGGGTTTAGGGTTTAGGTTTAGGGTTTAGGTATTTCTGTAGGACTCTCCGATCAGCAGTTTTGGGGGCTGGGGGCTTCAGGTTGCCTTTCAGGTTCTCTGTCCGGAGCTGATGTAGGGGCCTTAAGAATTACCTATACTATTTTGGGGGGTTCTCTTTATACTTATGGTAGAATATACCCCAAAACCCTATTCCAAGTATTAAGGCCCCAGCATTAATAGAACAATCAAAGGTCGCTCCCTAAACCTTTTTTGACTCAAGGGCTGAGGGCAAGGCCAGGACACCTAGAAGCCAGCGTCGCGCGTGTTAACCATAAGGTAAGCCGCACAGCCCAAGTTATGAACCCTAAAAAATCATAGCGTGTAGAATTGAGTGTGGGAACAGCATGTGGTGCTATGACAAGTCGATGGCGACTGCGCTGTCTCTGGCGCAGTCTGGGGGTTCAGGGTCACGCTCGGCACCTTGTAAATGTCACGGAAGTGCTGTAAGCGCTGGTTGAACTCCTCGGCATTCAGCCTCGGGAATCCGAGTGCCACAGATCTAGCCGGAACAGCATGGCAAGCTCGAAACGTGACAGCAAAATGCGGAATGACCAAGACGAACCACTTGAAAAGGTTCTGCAGGCAACCCCACTAGTGATTGCATAAGTCGCCAAGCAGCAACAGGATTGTCTGATCTCTGGCGCTGATGTTCTGCATACTGACGGTCACGAAGGTGTCCATCAACGTCCTTTCGAAAAGGGTTCCATCTTCCACCCGTGAAACTGCGACTCTCGAAAGGTTACTGGGAGTTTCAAGTGTTTCAGCATTTCGGCGACTCGGACACTGGGCTAGGCAAAACATCATTGAAGCCTGTTGAGTCAATTTTTACGCCTGCGTGCTGTGATCCGTCCAAAACACCCTACATCCTAAGCCCCTAAGCCCACAAGGAACTAAAGCGGTGTTTGGGGAGGGGGGGGTTGTAGTTGAGGTTTCGACAGTTGGAGCTGCAACTTCAAAACTTCACCATGGGCTCATGGAGCTACTCTGCAGCAAAGGGGGGAAATCAAAACAAGAGGCTTGCAGATACAAATTCCCCCCGCCCCAATTCTCCGCTACATGTCAACAAAGTTGTTGACAAGACTTTCGGCCTGTGTGGCTCGCATGATTTTAGAGTCTGCCTCCGACTGTCAGTGCAGCTGGAACTGCAATAAATTCTGAACTGTGGCAGGATAGCCTGCTGATGTCTGCAGGCTTCAGACGCATGTCTCAAAGCCTTCGTCTCTTTCACCGTCAGTAGGCAGCTGCCACCGGTTGCTACATCACCAGGCCGCAATCTGGGCAAACCAGCTCTCTTGCAAGCGGACACTGAACAGATCGACGGGCAGCTGCAATCTCCATCTTGAAATCAAGCTGTTGCCATTGTAGCGCCTCAGGGATCAAAATCAGAAGCCCGAACTTCTTCCGGTACGTCGGCCAGCCCGTCAGATGCCCACCACCGGTTTTGAAGGTTGTTCACAGGCGACTATCATCTGAGCATGGATAGATCTGCAACAAATGCAAAAATCTCTGGTCGTCTGCAGCCTCTGTGCCGCCAGGAGAAGCGCCGGTGCTTGCAGGACGCCGACGAAAAAGTGCGTGGCACGCAAGATGCTTCCTGGATTCTGCACTGCCAACTACGGATGCCGCGGCGAAGTCCAGCGTAAGGGCAGCTGCCAAAATGAGAACGGTGGGCTGCGGCGCTTGGTCGTAGCCAGAGTGGTTAAATCCACGCTCGTGTGTCGGCGAGACATATAGCCTCACATCCAGCCATTCTTCACCCAGCAGCCCCACAGACCCAGGACAGCGTCAAGCCGTTGCAAGCCTTCTTATGCTCCGTACCATCTTCCGCCGGGACAAAGCACCATGTTGCCTTCTGCTGGCATGCGCTGACCTTGCGCTCAGAGTCGGCCAAAGCGACTGTGTTGGGCAGCAGAGTTGTGAAATCTCGTCTCATGTAGGCTCTGCAAAAATGCAAGAACGTTGGGCCTGTCCCCACACAGCCGGCCGATGTGTGCCATCTTGCATTCGCCCGGTACGACATGACTATGTAGAAACAGGGCATGAAGTGTCTACACATCCTCTGCCATGGCCGAAATCTGAAAAGTTGCGATAGCTGGATATATACATATGAGGAGAATTCGTGTATGTACATACATTTATATATATATATATATGTATATATATATATACACACACCACACGTATCATATGACAAAGCAGCAGTTTTCCGTTATATGAGATGTAAGTTCAGATAGATGAATCTTGATCACCATGGCCGCACAGCCGGCGCAAACAGGTAAGTCTGAGAAACTCCCTACATGTGCCAGCACTCACAAGCAGATTTTGCTGAGGATGCCGCGGTCTTTCACTCTTCGCGAAGACTTTGGACTTCACCACGTCACGCCAGCGCGCTTTGCCTTTCTGCAGCTTCCGCACCCGCACGATGCTTTCCTCAGGCAGGGAGAAATTCAAGCTGAGCTCGCCGCGGTTAGATACAGTAATTCCCAGTTACCAACCACGAAGGTCTTGCGACTGCATACTCCATGGACTTGAAGAGCAAAGGACCAGGGGTAGCCACGATCGGGCAACAAGATCTGCTTTGACTCGCACTGGCAAGGGCGGAACGCATTGCCGGCCTATGCTAAGGCCCAGGATGTCTCGCTCCACCCCCCCTTTGCCAACCTAAGCTGCAGCACAAGGGACCACGTTCTCATCGTCCGTGCCGAAGAAGTCCTCGAGGCGATCAGCAAATGAACCCGCAAAAGTACTCACTCGTAAAGTATGGCATACAGTGTTCAACGAGGAGATGCTAAATGCTAGGACGAGCCCACATTGCAGGGTTGAGTCCAAGAGCACAGTAGGGCATTTGGGTTTAGGCTTAAGGTCCAACGGAGTGCATACAGTGCACCATCGAAGGTGACGTGGGCAGAGTGATCGGGGGAAGGGCGGAGGCTGAAGACACTACGCAGCGTTTCCAAGACACGTGCGATGTTCGGATTGCAAAAATGATGGTCGAAACTCAAAACTGTTCTAGAAGGAAGCAGTTTATGACAGTCGTAGAGCGGATTTCCCCTGGAATTGCAGCTCCCATTACCAAGCAGACGGAGCCTTTCAAAACAATTATCCTGTCACGCTTCCTGCAAGACTCAACTTCCTCAACCTCAAGCCTAAGTTTGTACCCTAAAGAAATACTTTAACTTTAACACCAGTGACAGTAGTGACTAGTGATCCACCGGGTCCGTCAAGATCTCGGCACCAAAGAGCAGCCGCTCCTTTGGGCACAACGCCTCTGCTAGCTCATTGGCCTCGGAGGAGACGGGGCTGCTGGGGGATTAGACAGGGGACCGAGACAGAGCCCAAAAGCGTGCTGTAGCATGACCTTAGGGAATTCGATGATTTGAGCGGGTTGTCGACTGTCGATTTTCGATATTTCCGAAAGGCACTTTAATTCGAGTCAGTGCAGAGGTTCGGCATGTGGGAAGCGTACCGGGCTGACCGATTTATCGCAAACGCTTGCAACAGCTCCAATAGCGCATGTCGTGCGATCGAGCTACCTCAGCTCTGAATCAGAGAGCGTCTCTCCGTTAACTTACACGCAGGCTTGTCCCGGTTTTTACCTTTCCAACGTCGGAGTGTCTCAAGCGAATCTTGGCAACGGTTAGTTGAACAAACATCATTTCAGACCACGTTTAAGTGAATTCCCCCCCCCACAACTCATAGCAATTGACACCCCCAGAAAGAAGACTCCTTTAGGTGCCCGTGGGCCTTCTGCAGATTCATGATACTCGTGTAATGGTTGAACTGTTTGCTGTCTGTCTAGACTGATTCGAATTATGGGTATTCATATATATATATATATACATTTGTATATATATATATATATACACATACTAAGATGGAGGTATACCTGATGTAAGACAACATGTATGTCCAATGTGTGTATGACTGTGTACATGTATGTACGCCTGTACACATGCATGCATGTATGTATGAACATAAGAAGAGACACATGCATACCGACCTGCCTGCCTGCCTGCCTGCCTGCCTGCCTACCTACCTACCTACCTACCTTCCTACCCTCTTACATACCTACCTACCTGTACTGTTCCGGAGGTCGGCCTCGTTCACGAGGCGGCAGACCTGCCAGCAACTTCTCTGTCTCCCTAGGTTGCCGCTCACGGCTACAGTACGGCTTCGGGCTCAAACCCATCACACCGAAGCGGCACATGCTGCAGGCCTTCTTGAAGCTCCTCTGAAACCTGAGTGGAACTGAAAAAAACAGAAGAGTTTCTAAGACCGGGGAGCTGGTTGAGGCCCCTGAAGCATCTGGATTGCAGGAGTGACGACAGATCCCAAGTATTTCAACCTGGTAGCGTCATAGCCCGGATGTCGCCGATGCGGCTCTGGAGATGCTTGACGTACATCAGACACTGCCTGGTTCCGAGAGCTGTCCCTCACTGGGGCTTCAAAGCTGTGCACTGAACTTGGAGAGCAGCGAGGAACCGACAGGGAGGCCTGTGAGGTCTCTTCGAAGCCAAGTTGCTGGTAGGCCGGGTCATCTGGCATCTCCACTTCCTCCAACGCCGTCCTTCAAGTGGGAGCGACGACTGCTGCACACAGCTCTAGCAAGACTGCTAACATGTCCTAGATCTTCGGGTATCCTCAGCCGACGAACGAACTAGAATCATGAGACCCTGTGGCTCCTGATCTTGAAAGCGAAGCCTTGGAACAACTCAGACTCTGAGGCCATTAGGGCCGAGTTGCTCCAGCGGGACATCTTCTTGACGATTGCTATCATCACTGGGGACCACGAGTCCTTTCCCAGGGCTCACGAACCACAAGGCTAGTGAGGCTTGGGGGCTGCAGTACAGCCCTGGAGCCCTGGATCTGTGCCCCAGAGCTGGGAATGAATAGCGGAGTGGAGCGAGGTGTTCTAGGCTTGACTGCAACACACGCAAAATCCGACGGAGCCTCGGTGCCTCTGTGCGACGATCCCGTTGGCGGGCTGAGTGTTGTGCAGTTCTTTCATAGCCCACGGAATTCAAAACAGCTATCTTCCTAAGCAGAAGTGTCCTGCACGTCTTCCCCTTTGTCGATGCATTAGCTACATGAATTAGGGGTGTTCTCACCATGATAAAAAAATCCACAATATACACTCACCAATACTCGCACGAAGCCTTAAATACATGCCTAAAGCTGAACCCTACTTTACATGGAAAACTCTTGCTCCTAAAGCTCCGGGCAGAAACTCAGGGGCTTGGCGCTACAGCCTGCCGGCTCTATCGCTTGTCTCCAAGCTTCGAAAGCAGAACGCGTGGCCGACGATAAGGCGGTCGTTGTGGCAAAGCTGGACCTTCGGAGCTGTAGCAATTTAGGATTTAGGGTTTAGGGATTCGATAAACCTCATCTTTGTGGGCGAAGATTTAGCGAAGCTTTGACTGCAAATGACTTGCTCCCGGTCTCGGGGACTTAACATTCTTCTTTTGAGAGTATGCCCTATATTGCGCAACCCAAAAATTGCACAAATGCAGCACTCAAAGAATGCCCAAAACCCTCATGACCTAGCCTCTGAACCCCTCAAATAGCCTCGCCCGGATTTTGCTGTCGCCCGTTCAGCAGCACACGCCCGGCGATGTACTTGAGGATGACCTTCCCTGGACTCGGGCTAAGGGTTAAGGTCTTACCACTTTGGGTTTTGGGGTTGTGACTCTCGCGCTCGCAAAAGGCAGGCAAGAAAGTCCGACCTCCCCTGCATAGGGTTGTGGGTTTAGTCTGGCTTCCTTTTCTTCGGTGGTGGGAAAGCAAGAACTATCACGAAAATATTGCATGGATCGGGCGCAGGAGCAAGCACAACAAGACTCAATGCACTCCTGAGAAGGAGCAAGCACACTGTATCTTGCCGGTTTGTTCTCGAACCCGAACAATCTGGACTGGCAAAGCCTCTGGATACCGCTCACAATACTCCCAAAGCTCTGTCTGCGGCAAGGCTGCTGTTATCCAAATTCCGCCTTGGTTCTTAAAGCTCGAACCATGCGGTGGCAATTCTGACTTCTGAACAGCAGAGGCAGAACCAAGAGAGAGTTCAGAAACTTACCCCGCTCTTCACATCATGTGGGCTGTGTAGAGGCATGCACCCCATTCGAGGGTTATCACCTGATTTGGGGTGAGTACACTCCTAGGGCGTGGAGTTTCTGGTGAATCTGTCTTGTCAGTATTTGACGTCAATTCGGGTCCCGGCGCCCGCCGAAGCTGCTTGAATGTTCTTTCGGGCACACCTACCGGCACCGCCCCAGAAGCGCTGAATCCAATCGCCCTTCCACCTCCATCCAGCACAAGTCTGCATGCAAGCGCCAAGCCCGGCTAAGCTAAACCTAAACAATGGCAGGCGAAGCACATCTCCAGCATCTTCGGCTGCATACCAAGACCCTTCAGTGCGATGAGGGTGCCAGGGCCCTGGGTGCGGCACTTGGAGTTTCGTCTCTGAAAGCATGGGCCTTGCACCCACAGTTGTTCACAACCCACCCCTTCCTCGCTTCCATGTGGCTACACCGTCCCTGGAAAGCGCAGTTCTATTGGCTCTATTAGCCGATGGAAGCCCCAAGATCCAAGACCCTGACTGACCCCCTCAACCCCCACCTCCCTGCAGCAAAGCCACCGCACCGAGACTGCAAGTTACCTCTGCTGCGTGCATAATTCGAAAAGTAATTCCTTGACCGGTTTTGCAGTACATTCTTGTAGAGAAGGCTCGGGCCCACATATGTGAGTTCGACAAACTATCTACTGTAACCAATAGGTCCGAGGTACGTACACCCAAACGCGCGAGCTAGAATTGCGTTATCCTCATCCTCCCTATACCCCACAAGCTCCCCATGAGGTGCTCACAACTTCGGGTCGGAAACGTACACCGACATGAGATCTTGCAATAATGCGAAAAACAACAACCACCAAAACCGTATCCGTCTTGCTAACATCATCATCATCATTGTTGTTGTTACTATTCCTCATACAAGTCCTTTTAACTGTTATTACTTTTCATCCTACTGTTAAAATTTCGAACTATTGTTAGTACTATTGTTCTCAGTAGTACTACCACTACCACTACCAC